CCCCCATAGTACAACATCAACCTACTATCCCCCATAGTACAACATCAATCTACTATCCCCCATAGTACAACATCAACCTACTATCCCCCATAGTACAACATCAATCTACTATCCCCCATAGTATAACATCAATCTACTATCCCCCATAGTACAACATCAACCTACTATCCCCCATAGTACAACATCAACCTACTATCCCCCATAGTACAACATCAACCTACTATCCCCCATAGTACAACATCAATCTACTATCCCCCATAGTACAACATCAACCTACTATCCCCCATAGTACAACATCAATCTACTATCCCCCATAGTATAACATCAATCTACTATCCCCCATAGTACAACATCAACCTACTATCCCCCATAGTACAACATCAATCTACTAACCCCCATAGTACAACATCAACCTACTATCCCCCATAGTACAACATCAATCTACTATCCCCCATAGTATAACATCAATCTACTATCCCCCATAGTACAACATCAACCTACTATCCCCCATAGTACAACATCAATCTACTATCCCCCATAGTATAACATCAATCTACTATCCCCCCATAGTACAACATCAACCTACTATCCCCCATAGTACAACATCAATCTACTATCCCCCCATAGTATAACATCAATCTACTATCCCCCATAGTACAACATCAACCTACTATCCCCCATAGTACAACATCAATCTACTATCCCCCATAGTACAACATCAACCTACTATCCCCCATAGTATAACATCAATCTACTATCCCCCATAGTACAACATCAACCTACTATCCCCCATAGTACAACATCAATCTACTATCCCCCATAGTACAACATCAACCTACTATCCCCCCATAGTACAACATCAACCTACTATCCCCCATAGTACAACATCAATCTACTATCCCCCATAGTACAACATCAATCTACTATCCCCCCATAGTACAACATCAATCTACTATCCCCCATAGTACAACATCAACCTACTATCCCCCATAGTACAACATCAACCTACTATCCCCCATAGTACAACATCAACCTACTATCCCCCATAGTACAACATCAACCTACTATTCCCCATAGTACAACATCAACCTACTATCCCCCATAGTACAACATCAACCTACTATCCCCCATAGTACAACATCAATCTACTATCCCCCATAGTACAACATCAATCTACTATCCCCCATAGTACAACATCAATCTACTATCCCCCATAGTACACAACATCAACCTACTATCCCCCATAGTACAACATCAATCTACTATCCCCCATAGTACAACATCAACCTACTATCCCCCATAGTACAACATCAACCTACTATCCCCCATAGTACAACATCAACCTACTATCCCCCATAGTACAACATCAATCTACTATCCCCCATAGTACAACATCAATCTACTATCCCCCATAGTACAACATCAATCTACTATCCCCCATAGTACAACATCAATCTACTATCCCCCATAGTACAACATCAACCTACTATCCCCCATAGTACAACATCAACCTACTATCCCCCATAGTACAACATCAACCTACTATTCCCCATAGTACAACATCAACCTACTATCCCCCATAGTACAACATCAATCTACTATCCCCCATAGTACAACATCAACCTACTATCCCCCATAGTACAACATCAATCTACTATCCCCCATAGTACAACATCAACCTACTATTCCCCATAGTACAACATCAACCTACTATCCCCCATAGTACAACATCAACCTACTATCCCCCATAGTACAACATCAATCTACTATCCCCCATAGTACAACATCAATCTACTATCCCCCATAGTACAACATCAATCTACTATCCCCCATAGTACAACATCAATCTACTATCCCCCATAGTTCAACATCAATCTACTATCCCCCATAGTACAACATCAATCTACTATCCCCCATAGTACAACATCAATCTACTATCCCCCATAGTACAACATCAATCTACTATCCCCCATAGTACAACATCAATCTACTATCCCCCATAGTACAACATCAACCTACTATCCCCCATAGTACAACATCAACCTACTATCCCCCATAGTACAACATCAACTTACTATCCCCCATAGTACAACATCAACCTACTATCCCCCATAGTACAACATCAATCTACTATCCCCCATAGTACAACATCAACCTACTATCCCCCATAGTACAACATCAATCTACTATCCCCCATAGTACAACATCAATCTACTATCCCCCATAGTACAACATCAACCTACTATCCCCCATAGTACAACATCAATCTACTATCCCCCATAGTACAACATCAATCTACTATCCCCCATAGTACAACATCAACCTACTATCCCCCATAGTACAACATCAATCTACTATCCCCCATAGTACAACATCAACCATAGTACAACATCAATCTACTATCCCCCATAGTACAACATCAACCTACTATCCCCCATAGTACAACATCAATCTACTATTCCCCATAGTACAACATCAATCTACTATTCCCCATAGTACAACATCAATCTACTATCCCCCATAGTACAACATCAATCTACTATCCCCCATAGTACAACATCAATCTACTATCCCCCATAGTACAACATCAATCTACTATCCCCCATAGTACAACATCAATCTACTATCCCCCATAGTACAACATCAATCTACTATCCCCCATAGTACAACATCAATCTACTATTCCCCATAGTACAACATCAATCTACTATCCCCCATAGTATAACATCAATCTACTATCCCCTATAGTACAACATCAACCTACTATCCCCCATAGTACAACATCAACCTACTATCCCCCATAGTACAACATCAATCTACTATCCCCCATAGTACAACATCAATCTACTATCCCCCATAGTACAACATCAATCTACTATCCCCCATAGTACAACATCAATCTACTATCCCCCATAGTACAACATCAATCTACTATCCCCCATAGTATAACATCAATCTACTATCCCCCATAGTACAACATCAATCTACTATCCCCCATAGTACAACATCAATCTACTATCCCCCATAGTACAACATCAATCTACTATCCCCCATAGTACAACATCAATCTACTATCCCCCATAGTACAACATCAATCTACTATCCCCCATAGTACAACATCAATCTACTATCCCCCATAGTACAACATCAATCTACTATCCCCCATAGTACAACATCAATCTACTATCCCCCATAGTACAAAATCAATCTACTATTCCCCATAGTACAACATCAATCTACTATTCCCCATAGTACAACATCAATCTACTATTCCCCATAGTACAAAATCAATCTACTATTCCCCATAGTACAACATCAATCTACTATCCCCCATAGTACAACATCAATCTACTATCCCCCATAGTACAACATCAACCTACTATCCCCCATAGTACAACATCAACCTACTATCCCCCATAGTACAACATCAATCTACTATCCCCCATAGTACAACATCAATCTACTATCCCCCATAGTACAAAAGATGACCTCTTCTATTCTGTGCCAGAAATAAATATTCCAAACATAGTCTGTGACAGTTGTGGGATGCGATAGATCCCAAATTAATACAACCACTAGCATCAAAAAACCTGTTTTAAGCAATGAGGCTGACGCAACAGATGAGAACATTTATCTTAAAACGTTGATAAACTATTAGGCTATTTCTTCACATTATAAGCACAGCAATGCGCACAGGGCAGTAGGCTATAAGCACGAATGTTCCATTAGCAGGAAAACCCCATTCTCAAAAGTGGCCACAAATGCAATTATGCATGTAATGCTTTTATTATAAAAGGTGCATTTTTATGGTGAAAATGATCTTCCACAAACTTGAAACTCACGCGCTGCTTATGTATGCCAGTTAGGCTCTACACCCCTTGTAATGCGGATTAATGTGCTTCATTTTAAGACGTTATTTGGCCACTTTAGTTGTGATACAAACCTTATTAAAACATATAGGCCTATGGGCTAGGATACATGTGGTGTGCGACTATGATTCGAAAAAGTCGCAAAAAAATAAGCATTGTTTCTTATGCTGGGCATCATTCACAAGAGATAATATATAATAGTGATAGGGTAATATTGTCACCCATCAGACTATTCTTGATATAATCTTGTCTTTACATATACCGGTACTAAATAATATATGTATGAAGTTAGTTTTCATTTAGAATGGACCATTATCATGCACCTGTATCAAAACAGGGGCAGCGTCATCTATACACTTAAATAGCGAATGGAGGACGCTTTTCCCCCGTGGTTTATTTTCATGCCAGCCAGGTAGGCTATACTCCTGTTGTAAAGCGAAGCAATGTGCTTAATATTAGGAAGGTTGAGAAATAAATATAGTAGGCCTAGCCTATAGAAAGCTGATGGGATCCTCCTCTTTTTAATAGAGGCCATCAAAACTCTGTTTTCTCATGCAATTGCATAGCCTATAGAAATGTTGCGCAACATGAGCTCATGTGTTTGATTAGATTTTCATTTGCATTGATGTCAGAGTGATTAGAGGGACAATGGAGTGCTGAGTACCAGGCAGTTAGCAAGTTTGGTAGGCTACTAATGACCATCAGCAGCATCAGAACTTGGAGAAGCCTAATTACCGTGACTAAACGTGGAATTTGACTGCCTTCATGACTCGTGACCTCCGGTGTGGCGGTAACACGGTCACCGCAACAGCCCTAGTCGTCCCTCAGAAAAGTTCAACAGCTGCACGACGAAGAGCGCATCTTGACTGGCTGCATCACCGCTTGGTGTGGCAAACTGCTTGGCATCTTTACATTTACGTCATTTAGCAGACACTCTTATCCAGAGCGACTTACAGTTAGTGAGTGCATACATTTTTCATACTGGCCCCCCCCCGTGGGAATCGAACCCACAACCCTGGCGTTGCAAGCGCCATGCTCTACCAACTGAGCTACACGGGCCACCATACATAACCTTCCAGTTAGTGGAACTGAAACTACATTGGACAGAATGGCTGTTTTAAAAAATCTGACCACAAGGCGCTTCAATTGCGCCTCTCCAATGCCATCCTGAATCTCCCAGAACTGGCCTTGATATTCCCACTCCATCATCAGTCCTCCTGTACAGACAAGAGACACCATGGAACTTGACATGTTCGGAGGCCATTCAAAAAAGCCAAAAAAGATGTCTGGAAATTGCTGGTGTGCAATAGTGCCCTCCTATGTGTCTATGTACCAACCATCAACCATGACAGTCCAGCCCATGTGACACCTGAACTGGACTCTTATGTGGAAAAAAACGAGCGCTTATGCTGGGGTGACTCATTCATTGGTCTGGGAAACTGTGCAGTAATCCCAACATCCCTATAAGGACATAATGACATTTATGGCAAACAAGAAGCACCTTAGGATGGTAAAACTTGCTGTATGTGATCGTTTATGGTGGCTGGGGATCAACTGTGAGGTAGTGGTCTTGGTGCACCATGCTTGATCAGCTCCACCTGCTCTGCAACCCCTTTCACTGTCCATCAAAGCCCAGGGATCATCTTCAAATGTCTAGCTGTGCTATGGTACCTCACAACCAACACTTTTTAGTCATTTAGCAGACGGTCTTATCCAGAGCGACTTACAGTTAGTGAGTGCATACATTTTTCAAACTGGCCCCCCCCGTTGGAATCGAACCCACAACCCTGGCGTTGCAAGCGCCACGCTCTACCAACTGAGCTACAGGAGGCTACATAGTCATAGTCTATGACCTGGCTACACTTTAACTTACCTCTAAGTAATCTGAGGTCCCCCCCTCACTCTCCACATCTCCTGCTGGCCGTGCCCCAGTCCACAATCACCCACACTTAATAATCTGCCAAATTATCGTTACCTAAATAAAGGTACCTGTTTGTTTTTGTTTTTTTAAATAATTTGGTAAAACATTTTAAATCCTGTATTCGCTTTGTCAGTTTCGGGTATTGTGTGTAGATTGATGAGGAAATGTTTTTTTTTTTATTATTACATTTTAGAATAAGGCTGTAACGTAAACAAAATGTGGAAAAAAGGGAAAGGATCTGAATACTGTATCTGTGTTTACAGGCCTATATTTACAAGATGCATTAAGATATCCTAATGTTGTTTATTTGTATTTTGTAGGCAGACAATTGACTATTTGTATTCCAAACATTTTAGCAATATCAGAGATTGGGTTACATGACCTTATGTCAGCCAGGCATTATTGTGTCACAATATCTATCAATTTAATCACTTTTACAGTAAAATATTTTTACTATTTCATATACAGTGGGGAGAACAAGTATTTGATACACTGCCGACTTTGCAGGTTTTCCTACTTACAAAGCATGTAGAGGTCTGTAATTTTTATCATAGGTACACTTCAACTGTGAGAGACGGAATCTAAAACAAAAATCCACAAAATCACATTGTATGATTTTTAAGTAATTAATTTGCATTTTATTGCATGACATAAGTATTTGATACATCAGAAAAAGCAGAACTTAATATTGGGTACAGAAACCTTTGTATGCAATTACAGAGATCATACGTTTCCTGTAGGTCTTGACCAGGTTTGCATACACTGCAGCAGGGATTTTGGCCCACTCCTCCATACAGACCTTCTCCAGATCCTTCAGGTTTCGGGGCTGTCGCTGGGCAATATGGACTTTCAGCTCCCTCCAAAGATTTTCTATTGGGTTCAGGTCTGGAGACTGGCTAGGCCACTCCAGGACCTTGAGATGCTTCTTACGGAGCCACTCCTTAGTTGCCCTGGCTGTGTGTTTCGGGTCGTTGTCATGCTGGAAGACCCAGCCACGACCCATCTTCAATGCTCTTACTGAGGGAATGAGGTTGTTGGCCAAGATCTCGCGATACATGGCCCCATCCATCCTCCCCTCAATACGGTGCAGTCGTCCTGTCCCCTTTGCAGAAAAGCATCCCTGGTGGTCCTCTGTAGCTCAGCTGGTAGAGCACGGCGCTTGAAACGCCAAGGTAGTGGGTTCGATCCCCGGGACCACCCATACACAAAAAAATGTATGCACGCATGACTGTAAGTCGCTTTGGATAAAAGCGTCTGCTAAATGGCATATTATTATTATTATTATATATTATTATCCCCAAAGAATGATGTTTCCACCTCCATGCTTCACGGTTGGGATGGTGTTCTTAGGGTTGTACTCATCCTTCTTCCTCCAAACACGGCGAGTGGAGTTTAGACCAAAAAGCTCTATTTTTGTCTCATCAGACCACATGACCTTCTCCCATTCTTCCTCTGGATCATCCAGATGGTCATTGGCAAACTTCAGACGGGCCTGGACATACGCTGGCTTGAGCAGGGGGACCTTGCGTGCGCTGCAGGATTTTAATCCATGACGGCGTAGTGTGTTACTAATGGTTTTCTTTAAGACTGTGGTCCCAGCTCTCTTCAGGTCATTGACCAGGTCCTGCCGTGTAGTTCTGGGCTGATCCCTCACCTTCCTCATGATCATTGATGCCCAACGAGGTGAGATCTTGCATGGAGCCCCAGACCGAGGGTGATTGACCGTCATCTTGAACATCTTCCATTTTCTAATAATTGCGCCAACAGTTGTTGCCTTCTCACCAAGCTGCTTGCCTATTGTCCTGTAGCCCATCCCAGCCTTGTGCAGGTCTACAATTTTATCCCTGATGTCCTTACACAGCTCTCTGGTCTTGGCCATTGTGGAGAGGTTGGAGTCTGTTTGATTGAGTGTGTGGACAGGTGTCTTTTATACAGGTAACGAGTTCAAACAGGTGCAGTTAATACAGGTAATGAGTGGAGAACAGGAGGGCTTCTTAAAGAAAAACTAACAGGTCTGTGAGAGACGGAATTCTTACTGGTTGGTAGGTGATCAAATACTTATGTCATGCAATAAAATTCAAATTAATTACTTAAAAATCATACAATGTGATTTTCTGGATTTTCGTCTCTCACAGTTGAAGTGTACCTATGATAAAAATTACAGACCTCTAAATGCTTTGTAAGTAGGAAAACCTGCAAAATCGGCAGTGTATCAAATACTTGTTCTCCCCACTGTATGGGAGACCTTAAAGATATGGAAAAACATGGTTGTGTTTTGTTATACTTCGGGTAGGGGTATCTCAACATTTAGCCTTGCCTCTGGCCTATTAGTTTGTAGCACAAATTACACATGTACGGTATTTAAAAATGGCCCTCCAGCCACCCCATATCTTAGATCCCCCTTGTGAATGGGCTCGGTTACGCCCGCAAAGTGCCTTCAGAAAGTATTCATAACCCTTGACTTATTCCACATTTTGTTGAATTCAAAATGGATAAAAAAATTAATAATTGTATACATCACCAATCTACACACAATACCCCATAATGACAAAGTTAAAAAAAACATGTTTTTATAAGATTTTGCAAGTTTATTGAAAATGAAATGAAGACCAAATTTACGTAAGTATTCACACCCCTGAGTCAATAAATGTTAGAATCACCTTTGGCAGCGATTACAGCCGTGAGTCTTTCTGGGTAAGTCTCTAAGAGCTTTGCACACCTGGATTGTACAATATTTGCACATGATTCTTTTTACAAATCTTCAAGCTCTGTCATGTTAGTTGTTGATCAATATTAGACAGCCATTTTCAAGTCTTGCCATAGAGTTTCAAGATGATTTAAGTCAAAACTGTAACTAGGCCACTCCAAAACATTAAAATGTCGTCTTGGTAAGCAACTCCAGAGTATATTTGGCCTTGTGTTTTAGGTTATTGTCCTGCTGAAAGGTGCATTTTCCTCCCAGTGTCTGTTGGAAAGCAGACAGTCAGGTTTTCCTGCAGGGTTGTAACTAGATTTTGCCTCTGCTTAGCCCTATTCCATTAATTGTTTTATTTAAAACATAATTCCCTAGTCCTTGCCGATGACAAGCATACCCATAACATGATGCAACCACCACCATGCTTGAAAATATGACGAGTGGTACTCAGTGATGTGTTGGATTTCCCCCAAACATAACACTTTCTCTTCAGGACAAAGTTCATTTCGTTGCAATATTTTTTTCAGTTTTACTTTGGTGCCTTATTGCAAACAGGATGCATGTTTTGGATTGTTTGTATTCTGTACAGGCTTCCTTCTTTTCACTCTGTCATTTAGGTTAGTATCGTGGAGTAACTACAATTTAACTCTGTAGCGGCTTTAAAGTCACTATTGGCCTCATGGTGAAATCCCAGCAGTTTCCTTCCTCTCCGGCAACCAAGTTAGGAAGGACGCTTGTATCTTTGTATTGACTGGGTGTATTGATAATCCATCCAAAGTGTAATTAATAACTTCACCATGCTCAAAGGGATATTCAAAATCTGCTTTTTTTACCAATAGGTGTCCTTCTTTACGAGGCATTGGAAAACCTCCCTGGTCTGTGATTAAATCTGTGTTTGAAATTCACTGCTCAACTGAGGGACCTTACAGATAATTGTATGTGTTGGGTACAGAGATGAGGTAGTCATTAAAAAATAATGTTAAACACTATTATTGCACACATAGTGTAGTGCAACTTATTACACTACATTGCCAAAAGTATGTGGACACCCCTTCAAACTATTTCAGCTACACCAGTTGCTGACAGGAGTATAAAATTGAGCACACAGCCATGCAATCTCCATAGACAAACATTGGCAGTAGAATGGCCTTACTGAAGAGCTCAGTGACTTTCAACGTGGCACCGTCATAGGATGCCTGCCACCTTTCAAACAAGTCAGTTCGTCAAATTTCTGCCCTGCTAGAGCTGCCCCGGTCAACTGTAAGTTCTGATATTGTGAAGTGGAAACGTCTAGGAGCAACAACGGCTCAGCCGCGAAGTGGCAGGCCACACAAGCTCACAGAACGGGACCGCCGAGTGTTGAAAAATCGTCTGTCCTCGGTTGCAACACTCACTACCGAGTTCCAAACTGCCTCTGGAAGCAACGTCAGCACAATAACTGTTCGTCATGACATTCTAGACAATTCTGTGCTTCCAACTTTGTGGCAACAGTTTGGGGAAGGCCCTTTTCTGTTTCAGCATGACAATGCCCCCTGTGCACAAAGCGAGGTCCATACAGAAATGGTTTGTCGAGATCGGTGTGGAAGAACTTGACTGGCCTGCACAGAGCCCTGACCTGTAGTGTATACAACTTGTTCAGCAAATTTTTACTCCTGAACTTATTTAGGCTTGCCATAACAAAGCAGTTGAATACTTATTGACTCAAGACATTTCAGCTTTTCATTTTTAATTAACGTGTAAAAAATTCTAAAAACATAATTCCACTTTGACATTATGAGGTATTGTGTGTAGGGCAGTGACACAAAATCTCAATTTAATCCGTTTTAAATTCAAGCTGTAACAACAAAATGTGGAAAAAAGTGAAGGGGTTGTGAATACTTTCTGAAGGCACTGTATAACACTTGAATGGCTGAAGTCATAAACCTATACAGCTCTGGAATGTGCCGATAACGGCAGCCATCTTGGTAGGGTCTGTCTCACCGTCGGTCTGCAGGGCAGTCACCAGCAGCTCTCGGCACTTGGTGCGCACGCTGTCAGTAGTGACGGGAGTGGGGGGGAAGGAGGTGAACTTCGGGGTCGTAGGGGAGGTGGGAGTCTTCGGGGGCTCCAGCAGTTGTTGTTTCTTGCTAGAGAAGACAAGATGGTGACAGAGAGAAAAAAGTGTTACATCATGTTATGAGTCACCCTGATCCTTCCATTTATTCTGACTGGGTATCAAACCCCTGTCGTCTACCTACCCATCAAACCCCCGTCGTCTACGTACCCATCAAACCCCTGTCGTCTACGTACCCATCAAACCCCTGTCGTCTACGTACCCATCAAACCCCTGTCGTCTACCTACCCATCAAACCCCCGTCGTCTACCTACCCATCAAACCCCTGTCGTCTACCTACCCATCAAACCCCTGTCGTCTACCTACCCATCAACCCCTGTAGTCTACCTACCCATCAAACCCCTGTCGTCTACCTACCCATCAAACCCCCGTCGTCTACCTACCCATCAACCCCCTGTCGTCTACCTACCCATCAAACCCCCGTCGTCTACCTACCCATCAACCCCCTGTCGTCTACCTACCCATCAAACCCCTGTCGTCTACCTACCCATCAAACCCCTGTCGTCTACCTACCCATCAAACCCTTGTCGTCTACCTACCCATCAAACCCCTGTAGTCTACCTACCCGACCCAAGTATTTTGGGCTCAAGCTAGATTACCCATCACCCACGAGTAGTTCATTGAACCACCTCTGCTAGATATGACTCCACATCAGCCCGCTGAGCTAAAGCCTAGGCATTAGTTCAGGGAGCTCACACAAGTCTTCAGAGCTCAGACAAGGTGATTCACTGAACTACCTCTGGTACATGACTGACACTCGGTTGTCACGGGTGTCTCACCTCCTGTCGCTGGATCCAGGACTGTCCTTGGACGTTGATGACCTCAGAGGAGATCCCTCCCTCTTCTTCCCCTCCTCCACAGCTTTCCCCTCTGCGCCGTCTGCAGAGAAAACCATTCAGGTGTTTACTATCTATGTAGGGATGGTTTGAAATTTACACAATGGGTACCTGGGAGGAAAATGAGGGAGGTTTTTTGCTTTTAATTTTTTTTGTCAAGGGGCGATTTAGTATTTTTTTCAATCTAGTCCATGGGAGGGTCATGTAATTTGTAAGTGATTAAATGTCAATATATCTCAGTGTTTTAGAAGTAGTAGCTTATTAGGCTATGTATGGATGTGTACCCGATGCTGCTCCTCACCTCTGATTCTCCGTGTGCAATATCAAGTGCGCCTATAGGCTTTTTAGTGTGGTCTCAATCAAATGATCCATAGCCTATAGGTTATGAATTGCATGCTGGGAAAAGCACAAAGTAATATTTCTAATATGGCTGCTGGGATGGTGTAAATAAAACTAGGCTGCATTCCAACCCTGAGCCCCGGCCTGCTCTGCTCTTACTGATCAAAAACGTTTTTGTGTGCTGCCTGACCAAGGCTGTGCAGGCCCACGGCTGCCTGACCAAGGCTGTGCAGGCCTACGGCTGCCGGACCAAGGCTGTGCAGGCCCACGGCTGCCTGACCAAGGCTGTGCAGGCCCACGGCTGCCTGACCAAGGCTGTGCAGGCCCACGGCTGCCTGACCAAGGCTGTGCAGGCCCACGGCTGCCTGACCAAGGCTGTGCAGGCCCACGGCTGCCTGACCAAGGCTGTGCAGGCCCACGGCTGCCTGACCAAGGCTGTGCAGGCCCACGGCTGCCTGACCAAGGCTGTGCAGGCCCACGGCTGCCTGACCAAGGCTGTGCAGGCCCACGGCTGCCTGACCAAGGCTGTGCAGGCCCACGGCTGCCTGACCAAGGCTGTGCAGGCCCACGGCTGCCTGACCAACGCTGTGCAGGCCCACGGCTGCCTGACCAAGGCTGTGCAGGCCCACGGCTGCCTGACCAACGCTGTGCAGGCCCACGGCTGCCTGACCAACGCTGTGCAGGCCCACGGCTGCCTGACCAACGCTGTGCAGGCCCACGGCTGCCTGACCAAGGCTGTGCAGGCCCACGGCTGCCTGACCAAGGCTGTGCAGGCCCACGGCTGCCTGGCTGCCTGACCAAGGCTGTGCAGGCCCACGGCTGCCTGACCAAGGCTGTGCAGGCCTACGGCTGCCTGACCAAGGCTGTGCAGGCCCACGGCTGCCTGACCAAGGCTGTGCAGGCCCACGGCTGCCTGACCAAGGCTGTGCAGGCCCACGGCTGCCTGACCAACGCTGTGCAGGCCCACGGCTGCCTGACCAAGGCTGTGCAGGCCTACGGCTGCCTGACCAACGCTGTGCAGGCCCACGGCTGCCTGACCAAGGCTGTGCAGGCCCACGGCTGCCTGACCAAGGCTGTGCAGGCCTACGGTGGCAGTTCAGGAGGAGAGTGAAAGGCTTCTTCCGAATTTTTTGTAGTTGATTAGGCCAAGGTCCAAAAAGCTCATTATTTTACACATGGACTAGTCTATGTTCTGTTCTGTTTGAGAATGAGAGCGCGAAGATGAGGAGGACCGGAGGATGGAGGAGGACCGGAGGATGGAGGAGGACCGGAGGAGGACCGGAGGATGGAGGAGGACCGGAGGTCAACTTTGATAGCTTGCTACTACTATAATAGATTTTATTAAAAACAATGTGTGTCTTGCCCATGATATATTTATCATAGGTATTGGCCTCACGATAAGCCAGATTCCAGTAACTGAGTGGACAAAACATTAAGAACACCTGCTCTTTCCATGACATAGACTGACCAGGTGAATCCAGGGGAAAGCTATGATCCCTTATTGATGTCACTTGTTTAATCCACTTCAATCAATGTAGATGAAGGGGAGGAGACAGGATAAATAAGGATTTGTAAGCCTTGAGACAATTGAGACATGGATTGTGTGTGTGTGCCATTCAGAGGGTGAATGGGCAAGACAAAAGATTTAAGTGCCTTTGGACGGGGGTATGGTAGTAGGTGCCAGACGCACCGGTTTGTGTCAAGAACTGCAAGGTTGCTGGGTTTTTCACGCTCAACAGTTTGCTGTGTGTATCAAGAATGGTCCACCACCCAAAGGACATCCAGCCAATTTGACACAACTCTGGGAAGCATTGGAGTCAACATGGGGCCAGCATCCCTGTGGAACGCTTTCGACACCTTGTAGAGTCCATGCCCCGAAGAATTGAGGCTGTTCTGAGGGGTGCAACTCAATATTTGGAAGGTGTTCCTAATGTTTGCTATACTCTGTGTTTATTGTGGCGCTGAAACTTGAAGCAGCAGCCGCGGCACAATCAATCAGAAATGGACAGCTCATGGTGCTGAAAGTAGACATAATTAATTTAAACCGTCTTCATTTTAATTAGACTTTACTAACAACAAGAGGGCTTTATGTTGGAGGCGATTTTTCCTACAGGAGAAATAAGAGGTAGGTCTACCTGTTTGACAGATGAAACTAGGCTTTAGGCTGCCATAGCCATAGATTTGTTGGTCAATTCCTCCACCCACCATGCGATCTTTAAATAGCCTAACTCCGTGTCAGTGAAGGGCTGTTAGTTAAAACCACGACACAAATTGAGGAGGTATGAGAGGGAATGCCATAGGTCTACCTTTTATTAAAGAAAAATGTAAAAAAAATAAAAAAAAGTACAGGCCTTTTTAAAGAAAACTTAAAAACGTACAGGCTTAAGATTTTTAAGAAAACAAAAACAGATCCGATTATATAAAGTGATCTATAACGGCACTTTCTGTCCGCGATGCTTTATGCTACAAAACAAGCCAGGAAAGACGTGACTCCGATGCATATGGGGATATCATTGTTTCATTTCTTTGACATTCAGAGGCGGAGCTACAACCTTCTATAGCCGAGGAGACAAAAAATTGACTTTGCCTGGGAAGTTATCTAATTCAGTCACTATCCATTGATTAAGCTCTCTGTCCATTCTCAGCCTGGAACTTTCTGTAATTTGTGTGGTATTAAAAAAAAAGATTCTGCTAATATGTAAAATGAGGGAGGGCCATCCATTTCCATTTCAGAGAGTGCCGATTTTCTAATAAACGTTCACTCCCTTAGAAACATGCTTTCTGTTTGGTCTTCTTAAACTATAGCGTGTTCATTACCGTATTATAATCATTTTCCCATCCCTGTCTCTCTAGAGCAGACAGGATCCCACCTGTCCAGTACAGACAGACAGACAGACACCACATTTCACAGGTATGAGGCAGACCTGCGGGACAGACAGACAGTGGTACGAGGCAGACCTGCAGGACAGACAGACAGAGGTACGAGGCAGACCTGCAGGACAGACAGACAGTGGTACGAGGCAGACCTGCAGGACAGACAGACAGTGGTACGAGGCAGACCTGCAGGACAGACAGACAGTGGTACGAGGCAGACCTGCAGGACAGACAGACAGTGGTACGAGGCAGACCTGCAGGACAGACAGACAGTGGTACGAGGCAGACCTGCAGGACAGACAGACAGTGGTACGAGGCAGACCTGCAGGACAGACAGACAGTGGTACGAGGCAGACCTGCAGGACAGACAGACAGTGGTACGAGGCAGACCTGCAGGACAGACAGACAGTGGTACGAGGCAGACCTGCAGGACAGACAGACAGTGGTACGAGGCAGACCTGCAGGACAGACAGACAGTGGTACGAGGCAGACCTGCAGGACAGACAGACAGTGGTACTAGGCAGACCTATAGCAGACGTACCCAGTAGTTTCTTCCAGGATTTGATGAGTGCCTTGGCCAGAGTCTGGACCTCTTCCTCTGAACTCTGCTTCCTCACAGCGTTCACCGACATGCCGATCCTGGTGGACTGACAAACATGGTGTATTAGCTTCACCATTACCGTTCCTCACAGCGTTCACTGATCCTGGTAGACTGACACCGGCATTGAGACATAGTATTGACCATAGTAATACAATATTATTTTATTCAGACAGAGAGTCCTACGGTAAGAAGAGAACAAGCTTAGGTCTACCTGTAGAGTCTCCAGAGACATCTTCATTATCTTCAACTCCCTCAGCAGATATATGGCACCGTCCTGTGAAGAAAGGAGACAGATAAATATTGGCACCTGTTGAATTGAATTGGATGCCGTCTACAATAATGTAAATCAATGTTTAGTTAGCAAGCTGTATGCATATTCCAACACAGGCTAGAATCTATGATAGGACAAAAATTCAAAATTCTAAATCGTGCAGGCCTATTGTGATACAGGAAAGATAGAAAGACAGGTGGGGGCCTAATTTGGTCAGGTTAACGGTCAGTGGTAACGGCAGGTCATCCATGTGGCGAGGACTGAATGTGTACGGATTTATGGAGTTTACCTCCAGGTAAAATATTGTGGTGTCGCCTCCAGGCAAGGGTCGACAGAAGAGTTAGTGGTATGGTAGAAACATTTAACCTTAAGTTAGATTATACACAGGGCTGGCATAGGTGGGGGCCTCGTACCTCCTTGTCCATCCAAATAAAATATTTAAGTATTGATAATTTATTTGACCGAGATGCGCGCAGACAGAAAGACGCATCGATCTCAGATAAAGCGAAACAGCGCCCTTCTGTCTTAGTATGTGTAGCCAGCCCAGCTTAGTGGGTAAGAGCGTTGTGCCAGTAACCGAAAGGTCGCTGGTTCTAATCCTCGAGCCGACTAGGTGAAAAATCTGTCGATGTGCCCTTAAGCAAGGCACTTAACCCTAATTGCTCCTGTAAGTCGCTCTGGATAAGAGCGTCTGCTAAATGATTAAAATGTAAATGTAAATGACTATCCCAAGGAATATCTGGGATAGGATAAAGTAATCCTTCTACCCCCCCCTTTCCCCACCCCCCACCCCCAAAAAAAACATATTGTAAAGTGGTTATCCCACTGGCTATAAAGGTGAATGCACCAATTTGTAAGTCGCTCTGGATAAGAGCGTCTGCTAAATGACGTAAATGTAAATGACTGATTCTGTCTAGACTAAGAGCGTGTAGCTCAGTAGCTCAGCTGGTAGAGCACGGCGCTTGTAACGCCAGGGTAGTGGGTTCGATCCCCGGGACCACCCGTACACAAAAAAAAAATGTATGCACGCATGACTGTAAGTCGCTTTGGATAAAAGCGTCTGCTAAATGGCATATTATTATTATTATTATATATGTAATACTATTTCTGGCCACAACGCATCAGATACATGGTTACATGTGGTAAGACAGAGGGGCGCTGTTTTTCTCACTCGGATGCTATTTTGGACAAAGGTGCTAAGGTAATCTACTTTGATTTGCTTGACAATCAGATGAAAACATCATGTCTGGTTGTGTTCATGCCACATTAAAAGGTAATACATTTTTACAGTTAAATTACATGTCTTTACTATAAAACCAACACTAGAACCGCTAAAGCAGTCATTTGGACTGCTCATGAATTTAAAAAATTGTATTACTCTGCCATTGTTAAAGTCATGCCCCCTCCATCTTTGACATTTTCCTAAATAAGTCTATATAAACACACCGTCCTTGTTAGAACCTTAATATCACAAACAGAACTGGAGTTAGAAGCAGTTTTAGGAGGGAGAGGACTGTAGGGCCTGCTCCTCTCCTTCCCCCGATAGTTGAAGGTGCCGTGCCCAGTTCAAATCGAATCAAATTGTATTTGTCACATGCTTCGTAAAGCAGGTGTAGACTAACAGTGAAATGCTGACTTACGGCCCGTCCCGATAACGCAGAGAGAAAGAAAATAGAGAAATAATAGAACAGTAAAACACGTAATAATAAAAGTAATAATAAATACACAATGAGTAACGATAACTTGGCTCTATACACGGGGTACGAGTACCGAGTCAATGTGCAGGGGTACCAGGTAATTGAGGTAGATATGTACATATAGGTAGGATTAAAGTGACTAGGCATCAGGATAGATAATAAACAGTAGATAGTAGAGTTGATAACCACCCCATACAATTGCCTCGAAACTGAACCTAAACTAATTTCACACATATAGACAGATGAAATAAATTAAGTCAAGTTGATGACCAAAGGGGAAGCAAGCGATGCATAATTATGGAATCACCAATTGTGTGAATGAAGAACAGGGCGGGCCATTCTTATTGTATCGATCCATTCTAATTATAATCTCAAAATGGTAAGTACCCTCTATCAGTCCACCAAATCCAAGCAGTTTTATCAGTCTACTCTGGCCTACACAGTGAGAGAGTGTGCATAATTTACAATGGCAAGAATAGGGAAGAAATGAATCATGATGAAATCTCTGATGATTTGTCTTCGGAGTCTCAGCCTGAACCCTACACCTCCGAGGCCTAAACGCAAAAAAAGCCAGAATGGTGCGCACTGAGCAGGTGGTGCCCATGCCACCACCAAATGAAACGGTGAGACAGGAGAGAAGGAACAGAGAGCGCATGCTCAAGCAAAAAAACGAAATCAGCAATGCACTCAGCTTTCGTCGTTTATGTGACATGCTCCAACTGATAATTGACCGTTTTTGACTGCGGTCATATCGACACATTCATTATAATGACATTATTTATTTTGTGCCAGTTTTACATTTTAGTCATTTAGCAGACGCTCTTATCCAGAGCGACTTACATTGCATACATTATTTTTTTATTGTTTATTGTCCTGAGTGGCGCAGTGGTCTAAGGCACTGCATCGCAGTGCTAACTGTGCCACTAGAGATCCTGGTTTGAATCCAGGCTCTGTCGTAGCCGGCCGCGACCGGGAGACTAATGGGCGGCGCACAATTGGCCCAGCGTCGTCCAGGGTAGGGGAGGGAATGGCCGGCAGGGATGTAGCTCAGTTGATAGAGCATGGCGTTTGCAACGCCAGGGTTGTGGGTTCGATTCCCACGGGGGGCCAGTATAAAAAAAATATATATATGTATTCACTAACTGTAAGTCGCTCTGGATAAGAGCGTCTGCTAAATGACTAAAATGTAAATGTAAAAATGTTCATACTGGCCCCCCGTGGGAATAGAACCCACAACCCTGGCGTTGCAAACGTCATGCTCTACCAACTGAGCTACCTCCCTGCCGGCAATTCCCTCCCCTACCCTACCCTGGACGACGCTGGGCCAATTGTGCGCTGCCCCATGGGTCTCCCTGTCGCGGCCGGCTACGACAGAGCCTGGATTTGATCCAGGATCTCTAGTGGCACAGCTAGACCACTGCCTTAGACCACTGCGCCACTATTATCAACCACATTTGGCGCTTATAATGATGTTTTCATCATTTGACCGCGCGTCTTGCTGACCGTTCGTCTTTGTGTTTGGTGCATTTGGTTTATTTTGTCATTATAGAAAGAAGCTGTTACCGCGCTCCAACACATATGCTTTCTGTTTCATAGTTGTAACTAAGGCACTCCACGAATAAACACTTAAATGTTTTTACATATATCCTACAGTAACACACTAATGAAAATGCTTGTTGTATTTACAATATGTATTTTTCGTATTTTAATGTTACCTTAGACCTTCAAACAACCATTTGTTTTATTTTATGCCATATATGAAATGCATTAATTACACTTTTAGCTTAAAGGGGGGCTCACCTTAGTGTTAATAATTTGATTAGTTTGCACACATAAGGTCCCGTGAAAAAACGTGCCCCCCTATGGAAATCAAATGGCCATCCAACTGATTCGTTCTGGCCCTGTCCATACAGATATCAAATGATCCCACTGATTAACCTGCATAGCCATGATTGGGCTTGCCTTCCGACCCAAACTCCGGCCAAACGCTACGCCCATGGACGTTAGTTTCTCCTTGAAGTAGGCTATGTAGCGAACTATACAGCAACTCAACAATTCAGTTTGAGTCGTCAGGCAACGATTGGGCCTGACTAATTATGAGGGGGCCGGGGACGTGTGGACAACCATTCATTAACAAAATCACCCCGTTAATTTAACGCTCTTTCACAATATCTAGCCATCATTACAACCTACGCTGCCCACACAGTAGCGAAGTGCAACCATTCACTTTCATTTCAAAATCGACCGAGTAATCAACTCGTTTTTTTTTTTAGTTCAGAACAACCGAAAAAAAACAAATAGCCGACACCTTTCAGTAGCTTTCCAGAATGTTCGATGGCTACAAAGGTGCATCACACGAACACCACAGTACTCCTGCACTGCCTCTACCTGATTTCTGATGTTGGGGGCGTTGGGCCAGCGTCCACTGCTGCGCTAGCTAGCAAACTCAACTTACCGTGTTCTTCTTGTGCACCATTTTGTCCAGCTTTTTAGCAATGCGTTCGACCTCGTGGTCTTTCGCCATTTTGCTTGTATTTTTGTAGCTGCTCTTCTCTCCGGCTACGGATGAACCTCCATTTATGTTGGAAAAAAAACCTCTATCTCCTCTTTTCTTTTCTCACAGTCCCCAACGCATCCACTTCTTTCCCCACGGCGCGCTGGTTCCGATGCCTGCTTCTTTTCTTCTTCATTGGGGTTTATCGGCGGTTGGCATCCAACGTTACGATGCATTACCGCCACCTACCGTACTGGAGTGTGGGCCAGCGACAGGGAGAAACTAAATCCTACCTGCCAGCCCCGTTGCTCTTAAAAAAAGATAACAATATATTTGACACTATATCTAATGACGTTCTACTTAATATACTCTTTAAACCAATTTCCTGTACCCCCTTCTCCCTCATAGTAGATCTCATCCTCTCTCTTTCCCTCTGATACTGCCCACACTGTAGCAATACATGCTCGACGGTCTCTGTTTCCTGACAATAATCACACTTTCCTGTTGAATGCTTTCCTATCACATTTAATGTCTTATTCAACCGGCTGTGTCCCACCCTTAATCTTGTAAATATAGCCTCCTCTCTTCTGTCCCTTCCTGCCGTCCTCCCATCCCCAACTTTCCTCTGTACTTGAAATAAATGCCTTCCCTTATTATCTCTATTCCACTGCTCCTGCCATCTCTGCACCATCACTGTATATGTCAGTCTTTTTCGCCTCTGCCTTGCTCATTGAAACTTAAACGTCAACATCCCTACTACTAAGTTAAGATGCCACCAGCTGCTGGCACCCTGTCCAGCAACACACACTATCCCAACATCAGTGGCAACAGGCTGGATACAGCTAACACTGCTGGACAGGGTTGGCTCTGCACGCGGTCCAGTTCGTCTTCACCCAGCCAGGCAGACTTTCCGTCAGCACCACAGGGTTCAGTGCCTCCCAGCTTGGAGAACCTATCTCGTACCTCTCTGAACTGGGGAGACCCGACATCATACAAAAAATTAATATAACCAACATCCCACTCATTCAGTCACAGTTCAAATCACACCTCTAAACAGGCTGAGGAGCCTGTGAGGGCGGAGCATTCATCGACAGGATTCCTTGTAATGCCTCTGCTGAGCCCCCCCCCCCCCCCAAAAAAAACGCTCAGCCGCACTCACAGTGATGCCTAATTTCTCCGATTTCCTCTCTGTGCTTTGCAGTTGATAGCCACCTTCTTAACAGGCAAAAATGTCAGGATCCCTCTTATGACAAGGAATATTATCTGGTGTCTGCACTCCTACTATCATTGGTCCTTCAACCCCACTCCTTTCTTCCACTCTTCTCAAAGCCTCCGGATAGGAGACGTTCTGGACAGCCCTTATTCTCACCACCTCCTTCACCCTTACAGGACACTTCAGAAATTCGGGTGCATGTTCACCACCACAATTGCAGCATTTAGGGTCAGCTGGCATACTGTACCCCTACCGTCTATATACACTTGACACATTACCAAATATTTTGCATTTATCGCACTGCATGGGTTTGGGCACGAAGACTCTCACAGGGTATCTCATAAAACCCAAATACACGTGAGAAAGGAATGGATGCAGTGGGATTCCTCACTCCATCCACCATGCGGGTCAGTCGGCGTGCACCAACCACTTGATCCAATCCTTTGCATATATCCTTTGCTTTTAATTCTAAAGCAACCCCAGTGATAAGTGCCCTGCTTCGAAGATCCACACACAAAACATTCAAATCCGATATCTTCTTGTGGCGCAGAGCACGATCCTTCTGTCTCGTCAACGCAACCTTATCCAACGCATCCACAATTTTTATAGAGACTTCAATCAGATATCCCAGGTAACAACAGCGATCCAAAACCCTTACTCCGACAAATAAAAAGACTCAGAACTAGGCTTGGATTGACTAAGTTCCACTACCACTTTACTTATGTTTTTCCCTTTTGTATTTTCCACTGTATATAAATTGTTCTCGCGCTCATCTCCACCAGACATGCCATCTGATTCAAACAGAACGTCCGCTTCCACCATTTTCCTTCCCAAAAAGAAGGGCTGTCTGTTCCGTCGAGAGAGATGCTGGGAATTGTAGTTCATTGACTACAGAAAATCTACTGTTTGACACTTGCTGATTTCTCTGATCTTCCACCCAAACATTACTTCATTAAATGCACTCCAAACGTTTGCAAATATCTCTCTCATCACCTTCTTTCAGTAACATAGTTACATGAAACTACAATCAGTGTGTCCCAGTGGAGGCTGGTGGGAGGAGCTATAGAGTGTACTTACCTTCTACCCTCTCTCTTGATCTTGTAGAACTCTCCTCCCTGGCCTCGGGTAAATCACGCCTTCTTCTTTGGTATCACATTTTGTTTGTGCATGCCGCCGCCTAATGTGCGGGAGTGTGTGGTCGATCACATTCCATTCTGTGATACAAAAATTTAAAAGGAAGACGGAAAGGGAAGAAAATGTACCACCAACTAACATCTATGTACCACTATTACATACCACCACCTAACATCTATGTACCACTATTACATACCACCAACTAACATCTATGTACCACTATACACACCACCAACTAACATCTAATATCCACTATTAAAGTACCACCACTAACATCTATATACCACGATTACATACCCCACTAACATCTCTATCCACTATTTTCATACCACCAACTAACATCTATATACCACTATGACAGACCACCAACGAACATCGATGGACCACGAGGACACACCACCAACGAACAGCGAGAGACCACGAGGACAGACCACCAACGAAACAGCGAGAGACCACGAGGACAGACCACCAACGAAAGCGAGAGACCACTAGGACAGACCACCAACGAAAGCGAGGACCACGAGGACAGAGCACCAACGAACAGCGAGGACCACGAGGACACCACAACCAACAGAGAGACCACGAGGACAGACCACCAACGAACAGCAAGACCACGGGAAAGACCACCAACGAACAGCGAGAGACACGAGGACAGACACCAACGAACAGCGAGAGACCACGAGGACAGACCACCAACGAACAGAGAGAGACCAAGGACAGACCACCAAACGAACAGAAGAGACACACGAGGGACAGACCACCAACGAACAGCTGATGGACCACGAGGACAGACACCAACGAACAGCGAGGTACCACGAGGACAGACCACCAACGAACAGCGAGAGACCACGAGGACAGACCACCAACGAACAGCGAAGACCACGAGGACAGACCACCAACGAACAGCGAGAGACCACGAGTGACAGACCACCAACGAACAGCGAGAGACCACGAGACAGACCACCAACGAACAGCGAGGATACCACGAGGACAGACCACCAACGAACATGCGATAGACACGAGATACATACCACCAACGAACAGCTATGACCACGAGACATACCACCAACAACATCGATAGACCACATACATACCACCAACGAACATCTATGGACCACTATTACATACCACCAACTAACATCTAGGTACCACTATACATACCACCAACAAACAGCTAGACCACGATGACATACCACCAACTAACATCTATGTACACAGGACAGAACCAGCTGAACAGCTAGATCACAGACATACCACCAACGAACAGCGAGTAACCACGAGACAGACCACCAACGAACAGCGAGAGACCACGAGGACAGACCACCAAGGAACAGCGAGAGACCACGAGGACAGACACCAACGAACAGCGAGAGACCAGGAGGACAGACCACCAACTAACAGCGAGAGACCACGAGGACAGACCACCAACGAACAGCGAGAGACCACGAGGACAGACCACCAAACGAACAGCGAGACACCACGAGACAGACCACCAACGAACAGCGAAGACCACGAGGACAGACCACCAACGAACAGCGAGAGACCACGAGACAACCACCAACGAACAGCGAGGACACCACGAGGAACAGACCACCAACGAACAGCGTAGAGACCACGAGGACAGACCACCAACGAACAGCGAAGAGCACGAGGGCAGACCACCAACGAACAGCGAGACACCACGTAGGACAGACCACCAACGACCAGCGAGAGACACGATGACAGACCACCAACGAACAGCGAGGAGACACGAGACAAGCACCAACAACAGCAAACCACGAGACAGACCACCAAAACACGGGAGGACACAGACAGAGCACAAACGAACAGCGAGAGAACCACGAGGACAGACCACCAACGAACAGCGAGAGACCACGAGGACAACACCAAAACGAACAGAGAGACCAGAGGACAGACCACCAACGAACAGCGAGAGACCACAGGACAGACACCAACGAACAGCGAGACACCACGAGGACAGTACCACCAAAGAACAGAGAGAGACCACGAGGACAGACCACCAACGAACAGCGAGACACCACGAGACAGACCCAAACAACACGAGGACCACTAGAACATACCACCAAACTAACATCGATGTACCACAGTAGGAGACCACCAACGAACAGCGAGAGACCACGAGGACAGACACACCAACGAACAGCGAGAGACCAAGGGACAGACCACCAACGAAACAGCGAGAGACCACGAGGACAGACACCAACGAACAGGAGAGACCACGAGGACAGACCACCAACGAACGCGAGGAGACCACGAGGACAGACCACCAACGAACAGCGAGAGACCACGAGGACAGACCACCAACGAAACAGCGAGAGACCAGAGGACAGACCACCAACTAACATCTATATACCCACTATTGGACATACCACCAACGAACAGCGGAGAGATCCACTATTACATAACCACCATCTAACCATCTCTATAACCAACTAGTTACATACCACCAACTACACCTACAACCTATATACCACTATTACATACCACACCAATAACATCTATATACCACCATTACATACCACCAACTAACACCTATATACCACTATTACATACCACCAACTAACCCTACACCTATATACCACTATCCCACCCCATTCCACTACTTTGACCTGGGAGGACGGGACTATTTCTTTCAACACACCTTCTAACGCTTTTGCTGTAA